TGCGCTGGCTAGAAAAGGCTAAATAATCCCGTATGTATGCAACGTAACTCCATAGCCTCTATCAGTACTGCATAAATTGTACGGTTTCCTTCACGTTAAACAGAGCAGTAGCATATAGGCTTCAGACCATCGATGGCACAGCTATGAAGAACATAACTCAGAACATTTCTGTTACCGAGAAGCGTATTGACTTTTATCAGTGCTGAGCACAGCGCGAATTTAAGAGAAAACCATCAAAAGAACTGGGGGTGTAGATATATTTCTTTTAATACGCATGTATATTTATATATTAAAGCTTCTTCGTAGCGCTCAGGCCATTTCTTTTACTGAAGATGAACTTGTAGTTCAAAGGCTGAGACCCTCAGCGCCAGACAAGCCTAACCGAGGGCTTCGTGAAGGCAATACTCAGAAAGGGCAGGCACCATGGATTAGGATCAAAAGAACAAACAGAATCTGAACTACTCATCTTCTGCTTCACCATGAGGGTATTTTAAGTCTAAGATATGGGTTCATTCCTTGAACATCTTGCCAAAAAAAGAGTGTTGCCCAGCAACTACTAAAACAATGTTCTGGAAGGAGGTGGCTGCTGGACAAATTAACCCAGTAAGCGCCCTTCTCCCCTGCGTTCCATGCAGCTATTCCAAAGCTCTGGATCCCCAGCAGAGAGATCTGCATCCCAAATAAAGAGCTGTACGGAATTTCCCGAGAAGGCTGTCAGACAGACTGTTTTGGTGTAGTAGCAGTGTCTTGCATTAAGCAAACACATTTGGCTTAGCGCAGCGCTACGTTCCAATACAACACGAACACAAATAAAACCTCTGCAAAAGCACACACAAACTAACAGAGCACAGAACCAGCAGCGAAAGCACAAAATTATCAGCCCTGGGCTCTGCTTCAGCTTTGCTGCTATTGCTAGGTCCGACTCGAATTTGCAAAATAGCTATCCGTCTCTGCGCGCTTAGATACGACTGATTTCTAACGAAACACTGGCGCTTTTAGCCTAGCTAGAGGGTCAGTTTAAGTTCATACTTTCCACATAAACCCATGCAAATTAAAAGGATGTTCATATATAGTCACTATTCAGATGCATAGTCATACTCAAAGATGGCAATTAGAGCAGCTTTAGATTCCAGCTTTACAAAATCCATAAAATATCTTTTTTTTTGTTCAAAGCAATGCAGATAACCAAGGAAGTGTCACACAGTCTTTTTTTGGAGACTCATACAACTAGGATTTTTTCCAGGAATCTCATCTGTACACAGTATATTCAGACCAGTTAAGTAAAATACTCTTTTGCAAGAATCTTTATATTAACAGTTTTAAAAAGAAACGCCCTAATGAACGTACTCTTAACGGTTTGCAAGGCAGTTTTAGAGGACTTTTGAATTAGTTGGAGCTGAAAAGATGAAGGGCCAGAGAAACATTGTACTTTAAAAAAAAACAAACCCACAAGTAAACCACCAAATTTAAAGTGGATTCAGAAAGCCAGAATAAAAAAAAAAACAAAAACAAAAAACTACTGACATCTCACAGACCATAATTACCATCTAACCTCAAATAACTAACTTCGGGTGCTATCTACTTCTGATTGGGATGGGAAAAGGAAGAAAAAAAAGTCAGTCTTCACACCTTCAAGTGACCAAACTAATATTTCAAGGACCTAGAGGCACAACAGCATTTAAGATGTGAAATAACTACTGGTTATTATAACTACTATTACTCATAGTAATTTGAGCCTGCTGGATTAATAATCTTTCTTCAGAGCTCCTTCCAGCTCTGGCACTTCAGTATTTCCCATCTAATACACCCTCTGTTTTTTATTTTTTTTTAATGTCTCATTTTTATACCACACTCCAAATCTTACCTGAACTCTACCCCTTCTTACTCTCAGCCTCCTCTTGCATTTCATCCCTTTCGGGGCTCCACCACCACCAGATTAATCTGTCAGCCTACTTTTTCCACAACTTTTGTCAACAAAGCCAGCCCTGTGTCCTCAGGATACCTCTGTACATTTTGCTCCAAGCAGACTGAAAGGCTCTATCGCTCCCATCTCCGACTCCAGTCGTGCCGCTGCAAATCATTCCGTCCAACCCAGTGCATCCAAACACACGCACCAAGCTTCCCTCACTGAGTTTTCCTTAGGACAACTTGTAGCCAACTTTTTTTACAAGGAGCGCCTTAGCAGCACATAAAACCCACCTCTGTTTCAGCTACAAAGCGCTTGCTTTTAGAAGCACATTGCTCAGGCAGGGACTATTTTCACACCACAAGCCGGGTATCAGCGTTTAGTGACAGTATATACTAACGGCTAAATATTACTGTCAAGTGCTCTTTGTATGAGAGAGGCTCTCCCCAGGAAGAGGGATGCCGCATACACACCACCACTTCGTGCACAGCAGCTCTGCTGTATTTCAAGGGTCTAAAGTAGAGAGGAAAGAAAAACCACCACCCTCTAGACCCGAGCCTTGCTGCTGCCATGAGATTCAACTGATTAAGTGTAGCCTAGGCAACAAGACTTTTTAAAACCTGAAACACCCGTGGCTAAGAAAAAAAGCAGGATGGATTAATTCTGCCACTGGATATATATGCTCTAGTTTCACACTGAATTTTCTTGAGTCATGTATGCATATCTAAGCAGTGAATCTTGCTTCTAGGTATCTCTCACCACTTTGATTAAGCATGAAAATTATATTTACAACTGTTTTGCATCTGCCCACAGAAGACAGATCTGCTCAGAGAAGCTTAGAATTACATTTCTTACAAATACTACCCGAGGGGAGACCCTTGAGACTTGCCACGAAGTCACACGTTCAGCGTTCCTCCCAGAAGGTGACTTCAGATTTGACTGACCTGCACAGCTCGTTTGAAAGAGGATTTGCACATAGATATAAACCAGGTTATAGCATAGAGGCGTTTCTCCAGTACTGTGCAAAGCCATAATGTAAGTCTCTTACATTTGATTAATTTTGGTCCTGCTCTGAAGAGATTTTCAAAAGTTATTTCTCAGTTACCAGTGCCAGTGTTTTGCACCTATTTGAATTCAAACCAAGACGATGCTGCTTCTCAGGCCTCAGACTGCAGTGATCCTTTCGGCTGCGATGACCAGTATGGACCATACGAAATCAATGAACAAACGTGGGCACTGCGTACAAAGTTACCGGATACTAGAAGATGTCCACATCAGTTCCACCCCACTGTATGAAAGTATCTTGTGCTACTGACCTGCTGTACCTGTGATGCTGCCCATGGCAATGAAGACTAAATCTTTGTACCCCAGATGTAAATGTTGTTGTTCGGATAAATGCACCTTAGGGAAGACCTTGTGTTCCATTTGCAAGGGAGGTATTTTTGCCAAGTGTCACAAAAACACCAAGTAAGATTGCAGAGACGTGGCTGCAGTTCCTGACTTTGCCAGGCACTTCCCATGCAACCCCCAGACAAGCCTCTGGGTACCTTTGCTTCGTTATAAAAAGGGGTATTTTCCATTTGTGTTGAAGATGGTGAGATAAGCTTCATTATTACTTCTTCTGAACATTTTTATCGTGGAAAGCATTTTATCTTAGACTACACTTATAAAGCATGTGTATAAATAACAGAAAGGTCTGCTATTTTAGTACTTTTGCTGCCATTTACCATTAAGCATAAACTTCCCCATGAAAGCTTTAGTGAAGAAACTACAAAGGTTAGAAAAGGTTCACACCATTCTTTCTCCATGTATAAATTATAAGTAATATGAGAACATTTACAATGTCTAACCACAATGTTTTATGTCAGACAAATGTGTCTCTGTACTTGCAGTTCCTAAACTGTGCGAGCAAGAATTGCCTTTTTCTCATTCTTTTTTCTCCCTCCCCTCCCCTCCTTCTACACCCAGCAGTCTCAGTCAAATCTGCCTTTATTCCTTCATATGATTTTCACGTCAAGAAATGCCTAGAGTCGGGGCTCTAGTTCACATAACACCATTGTTGTTTTTCTGGAGAGCTTAACATTGAATGCTAAAACTTCCCCAGGTTGCCTCTTCAGTATTTGAATCATCAGCTATTTAGTTTTCCAGCAAAAAAGGAGAAAAAACCCAACAAGAACTCACAGACTTCAACAATATTTTAAAAAGAGAGTTTCATTATATGAGGCATCTTCATGTCATAGCAAAAAAAACCAAAAAAAAACCCCCAACAACAAACAAAACCAGCAGTACAGAAGGCATATTATTTCCAAGGACAATCACCTGCAGTTCTGGCCAAACCTGAATAGAATTGTGGTAGTTCTGAGCCCCTGATAAAGGCAAAGCAGAACCAAGGAAACAAGATTCAACTAACAAAGAAACAAGACAAACAGTTGCTGCTACATTTAAGAACAGCAATAACAAGTAGATCAAATTTTTAGAATATTTGGCTGAGCTCTGCTTTGGGTAAAAGATGCAACCAAAGGGTGAAAAGAGAATTCAAGAATATTTTTGCAAACAAAATGCCAGTTAGTGCTTCTCTTCCTGTTTGAGATTTTTCTTGAACAAATTAGCCCTAGCCAAACTGCACAAAAAAGTAGGCAGTAATTTCTTATCACTAAGCATAAGTTTCCTGGCAGAATGAAAGTGAAGTCAAATGTAGTTAATATCGAATGAGGTCATACAACAGTAGCTGTTACAAACATTTGCTTCTCTTCGTTTTTGTCTTCTCCGAGATACATTTGGTACTAAAGGCCATGTATGACAGTATGGAGAAAAAGGAATTAAACTTACAGAGATCCCATCAGTTTGAACAGATCTGAAAGCCAACCTCAATTGGCAACTCCATCTCCACTCCCTCGCAAAACTTTCTAAGTCCCACAACTCACTTCACACAAACATTCACACTTACACACTTTTTTCCTCCCCTCATGAGTTGCCCTTCACGACACTAAAATATTCTATAGGAAGCGTGGAGGTCAAAAATAGCTACAGACGATTGCACAAAGTGAAGGACTTCTTCCAGCCAGAAGGGTAATAAGCTGTCTAATAAACTTACCTCTGAATTTTTTGGGTGGGTTGTTAAGATCACCTGCTTCTGGCTGTACAACACACCGATCATCCACAAGGCTGCAAAGAAACGAGAAGTAAAGTGAGATTCTATTCCCTTGCAATTGCTTTCATCCTTGTTAGCAAAACCAAAGTCATTTATTTGCAATATTTTATCCGAGTGGCCACTTCAGCAGAAGACATTCCCCAAACGCCAACTGATGCCAAATCTTTGTAAGAAGCATGCAGCTAATTTTTACTGTTGCCCAGAGCTATGCTCCTGGATAGGCGGGACAATAAATAAGTCATTGCTCCTGTACACTGCATCATCTTTATGTCCCCTCCTTGAGGTGCAGACAGAACAGCCCATATTCTAGTTAGGTGAGAGACAGCCTTAGAACAGTTATTGCCTCTTGGACAGATTTGAATAATGTTGCCAATGTGTTTATACGAAGGGTAGAGAACAGGAAAATATGATGACTATGCAGACTGGACACTGCCCCTATGACCCCTCAAGTATTAAGAAAAGGCAGAAACAATAACTGCCACAATAAAAATTGACTCCCAGGAGAAAGGAAGGCATAAATACGCCCTCCTGCTCACCAGTCATAAACAGAAGATAAGACAAGGGATTGAACTAACCTCCTCCTGTTCTACCAGGAAGGAGGTGAATTGGAGAAGTGAACCCAAAGGATTCCAACAGGGAATGTCAGGACAGAGCTTCTCCTGTGAATACACATCGGCAAAACCCCCACAGGGTCAATTCAAAGCCCAAAGAATAAAGAAAATAGTTCAGATGCGCCTGTGAGCACTGCTCTGCCCTCAGCGTGCTTTGCATCAACGTGGAATTGCACTTTTACCAAATGCTATTACCAAATCATAAAAATGCAACCGTAACCAAATGCTTTGTGGTTTCTGATTTGATCCCAAATGACTCAATTTGACCCCTTAAAAACCAATCTGTCAAAGAGGCTTTCTACGCAAAAGTAGAAAGTAAAACTCCAAAGGTCTTAAAGGTTTCAGAGGTCCATTCTCATGCAGAATCAACTTGAGAAAGATTGAGACCTAGAATATGAGAGTTGTTCCTTGCAGAGGCTGGTTACATGCAGGGAGCATCTTGAGACAACAAACATGGAAAATAATGAAGTGCATAAAAATTAAGAGATCAGAGAGATTAAGTGGACTCAACAGTTCTATGCATCTAAAATTTGCATATGCAAACATTCAGAGTAAATTGCTTTTTCCCCATGGATTTTCTCCCTATTCAGTATTATATATACATATATGTGCTCCAACAAGAATGGTAGTATTAATATTTGAGCTGACTGAAACATCTACTTCTAGTGAACAAAGGGCCAAAAAAATATCAAAAGTCAAACGGGTTACTCTGATCATCCCACACAGATAATCTCAGTGCAATATATCCCTCTCATCCTGAGAGTCAATTGAAAGTAAAGAGGAACTTCCCAAACCGCTAAGAAAATAATTTTACAGGGTGCAAAACACAAAAGGGGATATATTGTACACCGGTAATCATAATGATGACAGCACTGAGTTTGGGAAACAGCAAGAGTAAAGTCCCGATTAAGCAACAGTCATGTCATAGGAATATTAAATAGGAACACTCTTCAAAGATTTAGAACGACATTAGAATGTATAGTGGTATCTGTTTCCTAACCTTCATTAACCACATGAACAAGTCATTACACATTGTTATGACATAAGACTGTCAAAACTCCACATGGTATAGAGTACAATTACACCGAATCTTTCCTTTGCTTCTTTAATTTACTCCAGGACAAAGACTAAATTAAATATGGGACAAAACTAATTTGATTACGAAGGCTTATTAAGATGATAATGCATTTCATGTTTCACATAGCAATCGGGATTTCTGGCTTAAATTAGGCTCAGAAGATGTGTGGCCATTACATAATGCAGTTACCTTAAAACAGTACTAATCAAATCAAAGATGCTTGTAACACTAAGGGATCTTTAGACCCGCCATGAGAACATCTCATCAAGCCTAGAAAATATATGCGCTTAGGGCCTGTAATGTCTAAAAGGACTACCCATGGTGAAAAATACCCGCTCAGCAATGCCATCAAAAGCCACAGCCACTGCATAATGTTCATCATGCACTGTACGGGATTAAACATAACATAACAACTTTCTACTTGTTCTGGAATTATTTACTGCCAAACTTGCTTCAATACTAGGAAGAAAAACAATAGCCGAATGTATCGTATTGCTCAATTCGTTTTGCCAGTTTTCAGCAGATAGTATTTGGCAGGTTACACAGCTGATCGAATACTGCAGAGTGTACATGTCATATTTGACGAGTACCTGGGAAATTTGTCAAATACATTCGCCAAATACTATTCGACCAACCCTACTTACTAGGTCCCTTGCTTTTATCATACCTTCTTTCCCTTCTGGCAGCATCCCATATTTTCTTCTCTTTCCTATAATAGATCATGGTGCATCTTCAGTGTCTGCTTCCTTCTCTGCCCCCTTATTTTCCAGAATCCTAATAACTAGAGGACTAAACCTACAAGTTAGTTTGGAGTCACTCAGATGAGATTCCAGCCCATCGTTTCCTGCCGGGAGACTTACCAGGATGCTGTCTTTGTACCCTGCTTGGGAGCTCCATTTATCAGATGCATCTGGACAGTAGGCATCAAAAAATTTGCTGTCACTGTACCCACCCTGAGGCCCTTACGGCTACTGGAAATGAGAAAGAGCATGTTGTGTGCGTGCCCACTCACCATATCATCAAGCTTCCTGGTTGCTTCTTTGCTACTCATTCAGGATTGAAGTACCACAGCAATGTGTCATGCATGCTACTTCCCTCCCTCTAATTTCTCACTCCTTTGAAAGGAGGTGGCAGATGTGCTCTTTGAGCTTCTCACCCAGCCCCCTGCAAGGTCTTCCAAATCCATACAGCTCCACTGCCAGCTTCTGATGTTCAAAGAGATTTCTCCTCAGCGGCAATTGTGCAGAATAAAACATACCCTGTCACTCGTCAGAGCTGTATTTCAATTCCACGGCTTTTCTCTGCAAACTCATCCTATGTCAACAGCTACTTTTTGTTTAACGAAGTGGCATACGCTTCTCGCTGTTTAGGAGGCACTCTCCTCCAGAGCACCGCTCCCATCCTTTGCAGGAGAAAGCACAAAGGAGCTCTGAGGGGAGCGCACCGGGGCAAGGGGCCGGCGAGGCACAGCTCCCGCCGCAGCTCCGCGGTGCTGGCCGTTGGCAAGGCTGGAGGTTCAAAACGTGTTCTCCTTTGCAGAAGAACAATTTTGTTTGTACTAGAAACCTCAAGTACTGTAAGAAAAGACAAAACTAGTCACAGCGGTAAATTAGTGGTATATGGACAGTTTGGCTCAGGGCTTCTTTTGGGGTTTTTTAATTTTTTTTATTTTTTTTTTTTTAAACTACTTGCATTGCCTATGCGACATCCTGTTTTCCAATCAGCAGATTGCACTGGGGCTTACTCATTCCTGACTGGTGGGGCAGGGAGGGACAGGACGGGACACACGGATGGACACGGGACAGACAACAACATGAAATCATTTGCTTACATTCATTCCCTCTACCCACGGCTTAACTTGACAAGCTCCTTCCTCCCCACCAAGGACATCAAAACCACACCATAGCCATCGATACGCTCTCCATCCTCCCAACATCTAGCTTGCCATGTCAGCTTTAGGCCATTTTTAAATTTAGGGCCAAATCTGTACATAAAGCTACCTTGCTTTACCCATTATTTCCTGGGAGTCAGGCTCAAGATAGCTAGCTGAGTTCTGCTACTCCTTCTTACGGATGTTTTTAGTACAAGAGAACAGCTGTTCTTACCCCAAAGTGCTAATAAATCCATTTGTTGAGCCCTCTGCATAGAGAGAACAAATATCTCCAATATGAAGGAAGCTCGACATCTTGTCAGTCATCTCTGGCTTACTGCCCCTAGAAGAACAAAGCACAACGTTACGTTTATCAGGCAGAATTTCTCATTACAAGCTATTGGAAGTTACAACAACAGGACCCTTCGCTTTTGTTTGTTCCATTTGTTTGTAAAACTGAACAAGTTCTTGCACTGGAATTTCAGGTATCAAAGAAAACACAGAATGTCAAAATGCTTGCTTAGAAAAATAAAATAGGGGGAAAAAACCCCAGCTACTGGCATCCCATTCGGTGTGGGACTGTTTTACAGGAGCCGTATTCATCCCAGCAGATGCTGACAGCTGTTTTGGTCCAGGCGTACCGACCCGCTTCATCCCACCCGCGAGAGGGAAAGGGGAAGCAGAGCGGGCTGCCTCCGTTTCAGACACGTTATTTGTACCTTCTAAATCACAAGGCGTTTCTTTGTCAGAATCAGGTTTGAGCATGTTTTACAGGTGTGCTGGAGTGGTGCTCATGGGACTGGTAATGTAAAATATGAGCATGATTCGTGTCAATACTTTTTGGTCATGTCAAAATAGTGACACGACCGACACTGAGGTAGCTACCCGCTTACAGATGCGGTCCCAAAGCCAGCATCAGGTGAAGACCCGCTGAATATGCCTGACAACAGATTTTGCCTCTAAAAACATAAAGATTAAGATTTTTCACAGTCTAATACTTTAAACTATGTATGTATCAGGAAGCCAAATCCCTGTGAAATCAGCAATACTTCAATCCTGTTTTTAAAAAGATTGCCTAAATGTAACGCTGAGGAGACAGCCACTTCGTGTTGTCAACTTCCACAGTATTAAGAGCTATCTTTATTTTCTCTAAAGCCCCAAATTCTGGATCGAATGATACAGAACATGCCTGTCCTTTAAATAAATATAGAAAAGAGAGTTTTCTATCCGTCACGGCAACAAAGAAAGAGACGAGCAACATGAGCCCAGATAAAAAGAAGCCCAACCGAACAGACTTTCAAAGACGTCTTTTCCAAGGCCATTTACTGGTTTCTTGGGACCCTCCTAAAGCACGCTTTTTTGATCACAAAGTTCAAAACGCCCGAAGAGCTTTCTGTGCTTGAGGTTTCAAACAGCAGGCAGCAACGCTGCTCTTCGAGCTGCTCCTCCTCGCAGGCTGGTGATTTGCTCTGCAAGGCAGCCCTGCCATGAACACTGCCCGGGACCAGACTCCCGGATTTAAGTGGAAAAAAAAAAAAAATTTAAAACCACTTTCACCCTCTCCAACATCACACTCAAATCAGTTTTAAATGGTCTACCGCCAGAAGAACTAAGCAGCGGGATGTTATGCTTATTATAGAGCACTGCCCTGACATTGTACAGGGGATAAATATTCCCTTTCACTGAACATTATCTTGTTTACCAAAAGTGTAAGGATCAAGTTTATTAAGCAAGGCTGGAGCTCAACAAGGACAGATTCACGGAGATTTAAAAGTCAATGTTGATAATGCACTGCAGATATGCAAGTGCAAGCAAAAAACCTGAAACCACACCTTTCTTCTAAAAAGCTGCCAACAGCTATCCCTCCTCACTGCCTCAACCCCAAAGTGGTGGTGGCAGTAATAATAACAACTTTCATTATTATTAAGTCAAAGCACACTACAGACATTCTCACGCCTGTAAATCCCTGTGTCATCTCTACAATTAAAAAGAAATTCAGGAAAACCAAAAGATAACAGGCCAAGTTCATATGCAGGGTAAAGAAGTCTCAGCTCCTCCGAAATCAAATCCGCGTGCATACAGAAGCAAACCATTTGGCTTCAGGTTGCTTGTTGAATGCCAAGTCCTTCAGCCACTGCATATGTTACACAGTCCGTTCCCATTCTCTCTTGATAAGCGGACAGAAAAACATCACTACCTATTTTAAGATATATGCCACAAAACATACAGAAATATGCTAAGTGACTGAATTAGCATCACTACAAACACAGCTTTCCTCATTTCCTGACTTGGATGTTAACTACGAACTTCATACTAAAACACTTCTAAGCCCTCAAAATTTAAGCTCAGCCCTAAATTAATACAGCCAAAAGCAAAAGGTATCTAAGTCAACAAGAAATGTAGATACTGCCAAATGATCCCTTGCTACAATGGCATTTAAGGTATCCCATTTGGGGTGTGAGGGGGTTACTTTACTGGACTACATCTTTTTTCCCTTAGAAAAAGCAGATGTGCAGCACAGCTGTTCTCAAGGGATTGTGAAGGTCAAAATTATTGACTTCCACTAGAGAAGAATTCTTTCTTGAAAAAAAATAAAATAGTCTCAGACCATTGACCAAAACCAGGCCCAAGGATGGACAATCAAATTTCTGCATTACTTTCCAGAATGTAGTCTCAATTTTTTTTTTTCAGTTTCTTTACTGAGAAAGATCCTGACATACCATGTCATATACCATGATATTCTAAGCCTGACATGATAGCGTAAACCCCTAAAATAAGCTCTTTTGAATTGATTGACATTTCCATTAATAACATGCTTAGCAACTTTACCTACAACCATTATACGGTTATGGGTAACAGAAAGGTAGTTTTAAGCCTGGAAGTAGTTCAGGCATACGGCACGACTGAATTTCATTGCTGGTCTGTTCACCAGATCCTGTTTAAATTTTTCTGGGCAAGCTTGCAAAGCCATCAGCACAGAGCCAAGCTCTGCTACCACGCACCGCCGGGCGTAGACTGCCTGGGCCACCGCTGAACCCAGTCTCCCCAGGTCCCCAACAGGACAGCCATGCTCCTCGTGCGTCCCGCTGGTCATCGGCTTTCCTGGAGTTAAGACTTACAAAGGGTTGATCTGGCCACAATAACCGTATTTTTTAAGGCTTTTCTTAACCACGCAGTATTTAGCATGTTAAGTCCTCACTCACTCTTTTCTTGTATTCTTTCTGAATGCTGTTTTTAATGCTCATCAGCACGATGTTATCTCCAACGCAAGAGGAGATCCTCGGATGGAGCGTGCCTCCACCACTCTCATGAAGCACGCTGCCAATCCCAAGTAGGGTGAGCCTCTTTGAAAAATACCTATTTATCATACTGTGGGTAAGCCTTAGGATAAACACTGTCTACATCTATTCTGGTCTTTAATAACTGAGCACCAAAAGTCAGTCCACTTGACATTTATCTTTAAACACGCTGTTTCTGAGGTTGGCCGGTACTCAGGAACATGCTGAACTGGCAGATGGAGCGAGGGACTGAATGACCCAACAGGCCTCCTTACACACAAGATTTACAAGTAAAAAGAATAATTTCTAAACTGATTTAGTGTACTTCAAAGCTGCTTTCAGTCTCCTCACAAGGGACTTGTGACACCTAACAAAATTACTCCACTAATTGATGAATTATTTGCATTAAACACTAAATGGTCAACTACCACAAATAATTGAGTATTTTCCACCTTTGATAAGAAGGACAATTGGGATATCTGAGACAAAAAGTAGAACTGGAAGGTTTTCAAGTGTAAAGTTTCCAGGTACCCAGTTTGAAAACCTTCTAAAAACAGCTCTGACTGTCAACATTAGCTGACCATGCTAATCCCCCCAAATCAGACCTCTACGGGAATCTTCAGCTGGAGAACCCAGAAGTTGAGGCACTAAAAACCTGTCAACCTTGGCACTTTTCTCCCAAGTTCATAGCGCAGGCAGACCACAGGGACTTAAGAGAACAGGTTCCCTCCTGGACACATCAGCCAAAGCATCCACGTGCGTCCCCTTGGCCGGGGAGGGGATGCTTCCCTTCTCACATTGCGTTGGCCAAAGACACAGATGACCACCAGCAGCCCCTGGGAGCGCAGGGCAGGAGGGTTCTCACACGCTCCCAGTACCTGGCTCTTACAGCCAAAGGCACAATCACGCTGCTCGAAAAGCAATTGTGCTCGGTAGACAAACACAACCATTACTCTGCAATTTATTTATTTTAGATAGACCAGTGCCAGGAGCAATTGATTAACAGCAGAGGAGGGGACGGCCCTAGGAGGACCTTTGGAGTTACTGCTACGCACAACCCCAGTTTTACGGCATCCTTGCAGGAGAGAAGAGTCCTGCAAGAAACCCACCACGTCCCAGCTGTAACACGGCAGCGTCCCGGCCACGGAGCATTGTCATCCTCTTAAACACTGGGGGAAAATAAGATTCCTTCTAGGTAAACTTACTTGAAAAATCAGAGATAAAGAAGTACTCTGATAAGGAAACGATAGCAGCGTGGCAATACTAGCATACAAATCTAGCAAAAGGGAGTGAGGTTTCTCCAGATAAGTATTACGAGGCTTAACTCAGGTGGCAGCAATGTCGACAGCAGCAACACAAGTTTTTAAAATAATGTTCTTTTCCCACTAAGCCGAAGACTCTAATTTTGGCAGACAGAAAGATAGACTTAATTTTTAAGACAAGAAATGAAAGGTGAACTAAAAGTGGACTGTACATTAAGTAGACTATATCTACCCACAGACATCAAAAAATACTCTACATGTGTTCATCTTTCAGGTATTTTCTAAGCCTTGAGAGCTTGATTTTTTTTAATTATGTTGATGATTACTTCCTCACGTATATTATCTATATAAAAGTTATGTGTCTTTAAGTATGTTTTAGATACAGTTTATCTGCACAGGAAAATAAAATTAAGTCTCTGTTTAAGAAACTATCCCCCCAAAAAATAAACATAGAAACCTGCTGAATTTCACATGAACTGTGAGGTCCTGCTGTACAAGTCACTGTGCCAGTCTATAGCTTGGCTCTATGGGTCTGGATCTGAAAATGCATTAGCTAAATCCAGGCAGTGAATCAAGCCCAGGAAAGCTCCTGTGCACCTCCAGAGTTTTAGGACTTGCCTTTCCCCTACTGCTCTGTACTGCTTTGGTGAACACAAATCTCCATCACGAGACTGCGAGTGCGATCTTCTGACTGAACAGAAAGTGCCATAATTACAGGCTTCGGGTTTTATTATTTTCTTACTTACAGATTATCCTGTGCATATCCTCAAAACAAGCTGCATTTCGT